TCAACATAAATTATTTCTTTTGAAATGTATTAATGTGGATTTATATTATTCATTATTGTAAATATTAGCCTTTCTGATGTACACTCACTGGACACTTTATTAGGTACACCTGTCTAATTGCTTGTTAATGCAAAAAAACCCTCTCTAGGGATTACACGAATTAGAGAATGGTCCGAAAAAGAGAAATTCTCCAGTTCTGTGGGAGCCTTGTTGATGCCAGAGGTCAGAGGAGACCTGATAGAAAGGCGGCAGTAACCCCTCGTTACAACCGAGCTCTGCAGAAAGGCATCTCTGAACCTCTCAACCTTGAGGTAGATGGGTTTCAGCATCAGAAGACCCCACCGGTGCCACTCCTCTCAGCTATGAACAGGAAACTGAGGCTATGATTGGCTCAGATTCAACAAAAGTGGGCAGTAGAAGTTTGGAGAATCGTTGCCTGTTCTGAAGAGTCTCTGCTAAACACCCGGATGCTAGGGTCAGAATTTGGCATCATGAAAGCATAGGTGCGGGGGGTATTTTCTTTTGGGTCCATTAGTACCAACTGTGTTAAGAAATCTCAGCCTACACGAGGAGCCGTTTGTCCTGGTTGCCATGGAAACAGGCATGTTTTGGTGTACGAGGAGTGTTGAGAGAGATTCCGCAGCTGTTCCTGGCTACAACACGGTCTCCTCAGACCTGCTACCGTCATCACTTCCTGCCTGCGTTTAAAGCTTCATGGATGCACAGCTCAGTGTCTGCGGCTGCACTTCCTCAAAATGAGTACAGATAAGAAGCAGCCAAAATAGCCAAAAAGGATTATTCAAGAGGAGGATGGAATTAGACAGAATGGCTTCGGTTAAATGATCATCCATATGATCGAATGCCTCAAGGAAACTAAAGAACAGAATGTTTCTGTTCATCTATTATTTGCTGACAAGGGTTCACATAAGTGTGGCATGAACCTCCCGCTTACCAGGATTTCACCATCTTTCTGGTAATTCCGGGTAGTCCAGTGTTTCTCAATGTCAACAAACACACAATGGGGGGCAGTGATCGCTGGATTCCGTGTCCTGATGTGACACATCAGCAGGAGCTTCGGATGCTTTAGAAACCTCCCTGAGAGCTGATCTCATCCTGGCCTTCCTGAACTCAGAGAAAGATCACAAACAGCCAAACCATCTGGGAAAGCCTCCATGAGCAGAATACCTGGTAAAGATCAGAGTTTCCAGGAACACACGGAGACTTTTCCTGGATTGTTGTTCTCTGTGTGTTGTGGGGGTTCGCATGAAGGGGAGGAGGACATCAAGGACACAGAAGCACGAGTGAGAAACGCAAACAAAGCTCACTGCTATTTTCAGCTCACTGCGAAACATTGATAGAATGTTGGCAATATTAACAATTAAAAGTTATTACTTTTGCTCCTTCTCCAAAATCATTCAATGCCCAGTTTAATGAATTAAGTGAAATGATTTAAAACGGGACATTTGGGTTTTACATTCTGACAACAGTACATGTGAAATGGTGCGTATACGCGGTGCACCAAATCACTGCGAGAGACTGCAGTTCCGTTTCCCAGATCTAATACAATTTAATGGTTTTAATGCCTTACCTTAGCGTTGTGGGATTAAAAGGATCCCCTGTATTTAAGGTTTTAAAGCAACTATCTTTTTAACGAAGACACGTTTGCAGTTTTTCTCTGACAAACCCAGTGCTGGTGTTTAGAAAGAACAAAACACTTACTCGAGGGAGATTCTGCAGACCACCCACGGAGTCTCACTGAATGAAAGATCAGATGCTGAAAGTCATTCATAAACACTGGGACACAGTGCAGCTTATGTTTTTGTATGACCTCATGAACTTGAGCTTCAGAATCAACACAAGCAAACAATGGTCACATAAAAGCTAATATCAAAGCAGCATCCTTTTCTGCAGGTTCCTGTTAAGAGCAGTGGACGCAAGACGTGTGTAATGTAATGTTTGTGTGTTTGGAGGCGTAAACTTGACAAAATAAAACAATTTCCTGTCTTCTATACGCAAAAAGTGTTCATGTGCGACGAGCCAAATAAAGAGGCGTATAATACAAAATCAACTTTAGATCGTTTGAGAACGTTTCATGGTTGTTTCCTCAAGACTATGGGTGGTCAACCAAGAAAATACACACGCATGCAGGAGGATGATATTTTTGGGGATTTCCTGCAGGGTCTCGTGATTCCTGTGGGATGGGATAAACTTTTGTTATTAATCTCGTGATTGGGATGGGATGGGGATAAAAATCAACGGGAGTGGGAACACCATTAATAGATTAGAATTTTCTGTGTTAAGCAATTCAAATGAGATTTTCTAAACCTTTCAGGGCGTCAAAACACAAAAGTCTAAAGAACAAGTTTTTTTTTCCAGGTCGGCAACAAAAGTTAACCCTTTAACACCGAAGCTGTCGATGGCAACAAACAACAAAGAGAAACAGAAGGAGCAGGAGGTTTGTGGATCGCAGGAGAGCAGTGACAGATGATTCCCTTTGATCGCTTTAGCAACTTTAGCAGAGATTTCTTTGTAAATATAATATTTGTACTGTATATAATAGTATAAGCATTATCTCAGTAGTAGTCATAGGTTTATTAGTGTTAGATTGAACTGTTTTTACCATGTTCTGTCTGTGGTTCTTCTTCCACTTTTGGGCAAGTTCGTCTTTTCTTCGTTATTTCCTCGCATTCTTCTGCCGGTTTTGGCACACTAAAGTGTTAGATTTCAGTGCCAAAACACTTGTAAATAGTGAAAGAAGATGTTTATACGATTGTCGAGAGCCACTGTGAGTTTTGTGAATTTTTCAATCATAGTCACAAGTAATAAAAGTTTTTATAGACTGGGTTTATTCCCAACAATAATTTTTTTAATATATAGTGTCATTTTTGATATTATATAATATTGCTGTAAAACTGCTCATGCTCTTGATTCCAACAACATATTGCTTCATTAATTTATTTTTATCTTTTGCTCATTTTTGTATAGAAACACAAGGGTTTCTTTTGGATAAATCTAATCTTACGTAATATATTTATATTTATAGAGATTTTTCTGAGGAAGAGGAAACCTCCTGTGGCAAGGATGGGCTCTGTGTTCAGCTGGACAGGAAGTACTCTACAATATTACACAGCTGAAAAAAAAAACCACCTGGACATTTTTAAATAAAATAATCTGTAAAATCGACACTGAAAGCCGTATTCAGACAAAAAGTTTTGAGTTGATGCTCGATAGGTTGAGGTTCATCTCTGTAATCTCAAAAATCTTGTCGCTGTACATTTAAATTTTTTTTTACATTTTTTTAATCTGGTCCAGGATTGGGATGGGATGGGATTTTTTTTCTCTGGGAGTGGGATGGAACAGGAGTGAAAATCCACTCCCGTGCCATCCTCTAAAACACGTCATTGTCTCCTGCCGTTTGAGGCCAAAAGGTTGTCAGGTGCTGACATTAGCGGGAGAAGGAGTCCGCACATGCTCAAAAGTAATCACAGGTGAAACTAGACTAACGTTATGATAGTCATGCTTTTTCACAATGGTTTTCTTTTCACTAATGCTGTTTTCTGTTATAGACCAACCTGGCCAAAGCTTGAAGAAAGACAGGAATCAAGTGGCCGCATTTGACAGTATATCTATATTTTTACATTATATCTTAAACTGATTTTACATATATCTGTGTTTACTGTGTTTGCAAAAAAATGCATTTGAAAAACAACGCTGCGCTTATTTTTGATTTAATTTGTTTTTTTATACTGCATTTAGGTCCTGACATATAGAGGTTATAATAGAATTTGCAGAAAAACAACCCGTTTTCTAATGACTGCAAGGTAAAAAGTTAAAAAATGACTGCTCACGTCTACAAGGGAACAAACTGTTTAAAGTGTAACCATCCCTCCTGGCTGACCTTTTATCTGCAGTCAGCCGGTAACAGTGCGGAGGCTTTGTTCCTGTGATCATCTGTGGAGTTGACCTTCTGTGGCAATACAGCGAAGGTTCAAAGGTAGCACAGAACAAACACACGGACACACTCGAAAACTGACCAAAACAAACCACACACTTACTGGCACTGGCCAATGAAATCAAACTTCTGACTAAGTTATGAGCATTTCCTGCTGCCGTTATTGAAATGATTGGGAGTGAAGGTCGGACTGTGTGTCATGTTATTGTTCAGGACTGTAAAGCATCAAACAAGCATTTCCCCACGATCGACTCACCTCAGGAAGATATGACCATTGCGATGTTACACTGATTGTTATCGTATGCTGCGCTTTTGAACATCTGTGCTCCATGGGTCAAATACAGTGATGTGCAAAAGTTTGGGCACCCCTGCACATTTTCACGATTTTCTTTTGTAAATCAGTGGTTGTCTGGATACGAAATTCATCCGTCATATAGGAGACGAACACAGTGATATTTGAGAAATAAAGTTTTATCGAAGAATTATTTCAATACCTTTAGCAGTAATTATCAAAACTCAGAATTGGTCAGTGACCCTTGACAGCAGTGTCCAGGAATCAGTGACAACTGTGGGGGGTGTGGGTTTAATATCTATACTTTTCTTAGTTTGGATAGAGTTCACTTCCTGCACCTTATCTTTTCTATTTACAGCAGTAAAGTCCAAACATTTAAAGCCCACACCGAAGCATGCCACAACCTTAGGCTTTTTAAAGGCAAGAGAGTCAACTTGAAAAGTAGGCTTTAGGTAAAGCAAAATTAACTCGGTAAAGCCCTGCACCCTTCAGTGATTACAACAACATTTCCCAAATTTCCCCTTCTATTTAGTTCTTAAGAGCTAAAATTTCTTCTTTAACAATTCATTGTCAATATTTTCTGCTATTGCTTTGTTTCATCAAACAGTTTGAAATAGAAGTAAAAAAATAGTAGAAAATGGCATATTCCGTGCGGCACTACACATCTCTAGGAGTTTGTTGGATAGGTTGACAGAAGCAAAGTTGCCATTTGTAGAGGTTTTTGTGAAATAACCGACTTCCTTGTGCCACATTACAGCTTTCCTATAGCTCAGTTGGCAGAGCATTACGCTAACAATGCAAAGGTTGTGGGTTCAAATCCTGTGGAAAGTGAGAACCATGGAAAAAAAAAATTCAGATTATTCAAAAATCGTTCAGTCTGCCGAATGTACTTACATTTAAGTCTTGGTACCCTACAAGTGTCACATATGACAAACTGAAATGCGTTAGGTGGCGCTGTAGAGCAATTTCGTCACAACCACTTTTGAACCACAATCAGACATAAATTTTCTCGAGCAATCAAAAATGCATCAAAAATCAGAAGACGATAAGAGTACAAATACAACCTCTGGGGCTTGAGCCCTAAATATGCTGGCAGCATCACTCCAAGGTAAAAAAAATGTAACACTTCTTTACGTTATTAAGAATTACATTATTATTATGAAAGTAAATTATTGAAAACGGCATCTATTTCAGAGATTAAATATTTAGTTTGGCCTGCATTGACTTAAATGATACGTTGTTAAATGGTATACGTGTGTTACAGGCTTTCCACACGCCAGCTACGGATGCCTTGGCTACTTTATGCTTAAGTGACTGGTGGCAAAGAAGGAATCAGCTCTTGCTTTTCACCAAACGGAATCACAGACTTTTCTCGGTGAATGTGGCATCAGCTTACATTGAAAGTGTGGGTGTGGGAATGTGGAAGTTGCTAGAGACAAGAGGAAGGTGTTAGGAAATCAAGGGATGTCTAAAGTTCATTGAGGAAATCGTTTTCGTTCAGTGCATGTGGCCCATTAATAAAGACAACAAATAAAAACCAATCAATGCAAGATCATTCAGAAGGGATTCAAAATGTAGCTCCCATCTCATCCCACGGAATAAGGATGTGTCTTGAGAGAGTTCTGTGTCTGCTTTTACAAAAACTGGAATGCTTGTCGTATCGCAACAGATTCTCTTCCACTCGAAGAGGAAGAATGTCATCACGGGAAGTACGAGAGAGTGCAAGCCGGTCCAGAAGTGCAGGGCTTTTTTTGTCTGATGACTAACAGCGGAATCTGGGCTCCAGCTCATCTGGGAGCAATGGCAATATTTCCCACTTCTCTCTTAGTTTGCAGTGACGCACTCTTGATAGTCAGTGTTTATTCCCTTTTAAACAAAGATGTTCATAGTTTAAAATAGCAGAAATCACACTAAATAAAAGTCTTTTTCAACAAGTGAGGGGAAGCCTCTATTCTGGATTATTGCTGAAAATGACCAAGAATAGTGGTGACTCATGACTTCCCCGCAGTGCAAATACTGCCTTGTGTATAACAAATACCTCGCAGCATATTCAGACGAGGACATTCCCTGTGTTGCTTTAGAAACTTCTTTACGTCTGGAAAAAAAATCTACTATTTTTTACTATTGTACCTGTACTAAAATGTATGATAGCGGTGGATCTATGGAATGTCTTCATTATATGTTTATACTGTTTGTAATCAATGTTTGCAAATAAGGATTGTGTATATTTGTGAACAAGCTAAAAAAAAATCTAAATTAAGCTCTAAACGAGGGGAATTGAATTCTGGCGTATGACCCAGAACAGAAACCGCTGTGTAGGAGGCTTAAAACAAAGTGAGGACAAGCTAAACTTTTAAAAAGCTTTTAAAAGAGTTTTGAGCACAGCAAAAAGACACAAGGTAGTTACTGCATCAACAAGGTCTCTCCCAGTCCGAGAAGTCAACTTGTGCTAATTACAGAAATTCTGTCAGCTCAAAACAAACAGAAACCAGTGAGACAACGATCCAAAACACAAGGCCTCATCCACTGGTCATCGTTCCAGCAGAACAACGTGAAAGTTCTGGAGCGGATCTTAGTCTCCTGATCTCAATATCACTCTGGGGAGAACACAAACGTGCCGTTCATGCTAGAATTTACAAGAGCTTGAGGCTTTTTGTCTGAGAAGAATGTGCTGCTTTACCAACAGAGAGGATAAAGAACCTCATCCACAACTACCTCAAGAGACTCCAGACAATAAATGCCTTCACCCATAAACGAACCATGAGCGGAACAAATGTGCTCATGTAAACAAGATGCAAATGTTCCCTGCAATGACTGTTTAGCACAAAGTTAACCAAGTACAACACTACTGTACGATATGAGAGGAACGTGATTCTACCCCAATCATGGAAAATTTGGCTTAATGTAACAAATTATTCACGATGTAGGACTGGGGTTTTTATATGGAGGATTTGATGAAAAAGGGCACTTTTTTCCAAATCTCATCGAAAATAAAACCCTGGACTCCACATCATAAAATTTTACAGCTGTAACGTTGACCAAATGTGGGTCACACATCTGCTTCCCTTTGATACGATGCTTTAGGGGAGGGGGTAGGCGCTGCTAACAGAGCCTATCATAGCCTATGATTAACGCTGTTTACATTCTTCTGTGATTTATTTCTATTCTTCTGTGACAGAAGAAACAAATGAATATTTAAACATTTCAAAAAGCCAATTTCCAGAAAGTGAGTGTTTGCACACTAATGACAGCACTTCCCATCGTGTCACTAATGGTGCTTATTTCCAGCTTGCAAGAAAAGATTCCACATCAACCAAAACAAATCATTTAGAAATAGTTGTTTTTTTTTTGCAAATGATTCATTTACACTGAAGCGAAGACTACAAACACTCCAGGAAAAACAATGTGCAACATTTAAATTAGGATCGAGTCTGAATATCATAATCGGGAGAGTGCCGTCATAACAAAGGGTCCACGGTTGTTCCAGTAATCTCTCTTGTGAGCCCAATCTGATGTAATTCCATTAAGGCCTGATGGGGCCATTGGCATTCCAGGAATCAGAGGCTCACATTCCTCCTCTGAGAGAATAACTGACTTCCTCTTAAACAAGTCTTTTCAGGTGTGCTGGAAATCTCGTAAAAATGGCACCTGCTGTTGTGTAACTTTAACTTGCCATTTTCAGCGGAATCTGGCTGCGGTGAACAGAGTTCACTCCAGACGCTGTTCATTTCCTGAACGCAGACTCCTGGAGGGGACGTAAGACTGCAAGAGTTTATAAAGGAATGTTGGAGCTGTGATGTCCTGTGCCCAAGCATCAGTGATATGTTCCCCACACACGCTACAGCGGGAAGCAGGTGGAGAGAGATGAAGAGAGGAGTGATGTGGGCTCTTCTAGAGTTCCGTCTCATTTGAAGGGGTCTCACTGCCCTGGAAAGAAGAGCATTGCAGTCGAGTACTTGAACTGGTTCTGTTTGGAGGTGTCTGATCTTTAGGCGGTTTTAGCGATGCGCTCTTATAACGGTTTCGGCAGAGGTGGATGGAGAGATTGTCGACGCTGGAGTCATGCTGGACAGTGTTGTAGGCAGGGACAACCATCAGTTCAGTCTTTGCCATGGTGAGCTGTAGGTGATCCACGTTGAGAAGTCGTTGAGACAGTTTGTTCTGCGGGTTGTAACAGTAGATTCATCAGGATGGAACGACCGTGTCGGTGGATGATGGGACCCAGGGAGGTGATGTAAGTTAAGAAGAGCAGAGGACCAAGAACTGAACCCTGTGGAACTCCTGTAAGCAGCTGCTGCTGCTCGAACACCCTCCAGCCGACTCTGAATGATCTGGCAGTGACTGAACCAGATAAGTCATAACTGATTCAGAGTTTGCTGTTTTCTGGTGGAACTGGTGACGAGTGGGCGTTGGCTCCGTTCATCATGGGCCTCGGTGACTCCTCTCCAAATGTAGAGTTAATGTTTGTGGCTCAAAAGCTATATTTCTGTCTCATCGTTCCTAATAACTTTGTTCCAGAAGTTTGGAGATTGTCTCTGAACTGTTTGGCGTGTTGTAAGTTCAACTCCTTTTTCTTGTAGGTCCTTCGACGGCTCTTTTGCTTTCCCCATCGCTCAGAATTCAGAAATGTTGACGCATCACTGGATGAAAGAGGCGAGGGTTTATCAGGAGCCAGAAACTCCTTTTGATTGCTTGGAACATTGATTCCAAGCAAACAGGTCGAGGTGAGGATGGTTCCCTTCACCATCCGCTCGGACCCTTCTGCGTTGTTTTTGTGCACGTAAACTTTTGATGAGGGGCATTTGGAACCTTTCTGTTGTCACTATGATTTAAATATAAAAGAGTAAACACAGCTGTTTGAGAATAAATGCCTTCACCCAACCACTAACTATGCGTTTGTGTTAATCCGATTTTCTGAAAAATGGCCAAGAAATCTGTAATCTATAAACATATGAGCACATTTCTTTGCTAATGAAATGATTGAGATTCAAAGGTAAAGATCTGTCAGGCTGTCACTGAAACATAGGAAAGCTTTCGCTTTAAGAAAGCAAGTCTGTCAGACTCAGTCTTGCGATCCACATCACCCGCGGAATTGTTCTTATCTCACCATCTGATTCTGAAAAGCTGTAAGAAAATTACTCAACTTGAACTTTTTATCTGATGCCTGTCACTCAACGGACTATTTTTAACTCAAATGTAAAGCAGTCAAAATGAGGTCTGCTGATCTCTAGTTCCCAGCAGCGGCCTCTTCATGTGTTGAACTAGTTCCTCTGATAAAGTGGTGGATTCGAGCGCGGTATTAGCTGCCAATCCTGGATTCCTGTTCTGAACCGCTCACCCGGTCTCTGTTCTAGATGTTATTGGGTGCGCTGCACATCAACATTGATCATCGGCTGCATTTCCATCCACCTATTTGTATCCAAATCTCATCGAAAATAAAACCCTGGATGCGCATATATTTTGAAAATGCGCTTAACAAAATTATGCTCACAATTGAGCATAAACTACAGTGGAAACACATTTACGGAATAAATCCCAATGGTAATGCATTTTATTCTGACGGAACTGGGGCGGTATTAATGGAATAACCAACCGGTTTCATTGCACCAGCTGCGTTTCTAAAGAGCAAGATGACATGACCGTGTACATTTCGCCTCGTCTATGTGTTCAAAAACATTAGATATTTTACATGAAAAAAAGTCCTTCTCCTGATGCAGCAATGTTCATTTTTCTTTTGATGTTGATTTTGTTCTCTTGGATAGCGAATACTCCGAATATTCCAGTTTTGCCTTCAGATTAAATTTGCATAATTGGACGGAAACACGGCTAAT